TTGGGATGTTTAAAAGTCAAAAAGCAAGATCTTTTGATTTATATACAAAGACTTTGTATATAGATCCCTCTTTCAATGTTTTCAGAAACTGTCAGCTGAACTATTTAGGATATTGAATTCCCTGGATATTCTTCAAGCTATTACTTCTATATTTAAGCCTTATGTGAGAAGAAGATGTAGTTGAAGTTAAGAGGATCTCTTGATTTTAAAAATCTCTGGAGAATTTGGCAGGGGCCAAATATTGATGTCTGCATTATTGTTTTTAGTGGCCTAAAACATGTTCAGTTTAATTAGGCCTTAGAACTGATGTACATGGAGCTATTGAAATGATCTAACTCCACAACACAAAGCATACTTCCTCGGTTTTGTTTCCTGTGTTATCTGCTTTGTGTCTCAAAAATCAGCAAATTTCTTAGCCATGTGAATATGCAATTCTTTTCTTAGATAAAGAGAAATACTTTGCTCATGTGATTTGAAAAGGTTCCCTTTCCTGGTTGTTTTCAGAGTGGGAGGCATTCCATTCTGAAGGTCAGAGAAGTCATGACACATTATGGGTAAGCTCATCTCTTACTTCACAGTGAGTTCAGAAGAGAATGATGCATGCAGCAAAGTAAGCCACGGTCATGATGTTCTGTGGCAGAACATTTGGGTTTCCCTACAGGTGGAATCAGTATGAAGTGAGTCATTAGTCATCACATTTTCTGGAAGAGTCAGAAGAGAAAAAGTTTAGAGTGAAATTGAATACAGACTTATAATTCACTTCTGTCATTCACAAGGGAGGATGATGTTCTGCATTAAACTTGCTCACCAAAAATGTTCACAATAGTCTGGTTCTTATGCCAAGTGCCAACTAGAAAAGAATACAAAGAGAACACAGGGTTCTTTGAAATCTTTATTGAATTTTACTTATGTTAGGAATGTGTAAAGATGCTTTGTTCAAACATGTCCTTTGTGTATGATTAAAAAATCTGATGTAGAAGGGCATGGGGACAGTGCTGGTAATGAGCAATGTGAAGAGCTAAGTAGTTAAAGGAAAGGAACTCAGGGAAATTATGAGTGTTGTAGATGACTGGGTGAGGAAAAAAGGAGTAGAAATCTCCTTACCTGGGAAACTGAGTCCCACTTCACACTGATCTGCATAAAGGCAAAAGATAATTTAACTCACCATGGATTTGATGGATTCCCATTCAACAGATTCCCCAGTTGGAGATGGTTCAAAGAGCAAGAATATGATGATAGAAAATACCCTGCAAATGCTATTGTGTTTGTTAATGGGAAACAACCTGTAAATTCAAATTTTCAACAGTGGTCATATTTCAATACAAAAATCTACTTCTTTGAAGGTTAAAAAGTTATTTGAATTGAGTGTTAACTCAATGTTCAAGGTTCCCATGTTAGAAATGCAGATGTGTCGGGAGAAACGATTGAGGGAAATGTTAACCTGATTTTTAGTTTGTTCACTGTTTTGGATCAAAACTTGTTTTCACATCCGAAGAACTAACACTGCAAACAGGACATAACACATTAGAAATTTGAAATTAAGGGTTTTTACTAATTACCAATAAACATTTCTGAAAATTTCTTTCCAGGTAGGTCAGAGGGGCAGGGTGCTTAGATTCAGGTACCTTCAGTCAATGCCTGTTGCAGGGCAATGGTGAGAGCTTGTATTTGAAGATTTCCAGACTCTTCCATCTTTTCTATGATAATATGATTGCTAATGTAACATTCCTGGCTTTCATAGTCTGGAGAGAAATGGCCAGCCTGGGAAATCTACCAAATTGTGAGGATGAAGAAGAATGAATAATCTGGAGAGAAGGCTTTCCAACTCTTTGTGCTATCTAACTTGAAAGTTTGACACCTTCCCCATTTGCATTTATATATAGAATATCTGGAAATTCTTCATGTTCTTTACAGAGTCACTCATAGGAAGATACAAAATCCATTTGGGATAGAAATTGGGTTAAAAACAAAATAAAATCAAAAAAGTCTTTCCTCTTCCATAGTCTCCTCTCCTTTTCCCTATTCTTCTCAGAAACAGCTATTTAGTTGAGGGTCCCTTGAATTTGTGCATAGGCTCCTTCCTGTGTCTCGGTCCAAGTTGCCAGGTGTATGCCTAGTTAACAAGTCTATATTCCAGTGTTTGCTGCACACCAGTCAGTGTGGATAGTGTTGGGGGAGAAGCTTTCTTGACTATTTTATAGCTGATGGTTGCTTACTGCATGTAGGTTCAAAACTCCAAACTCAAAAGTCTTCTAGACATAGCATTCCTGAGATTAGCTCTTGTGAGTGATGGTTAGGGAGCCACCCTTGGTCTTTGAGACATCACCCTCCATTCAAGTAAAGAGGGTTCCAGCAAATGGATTTTACCAAGTGGGATGCAGTCCCAAATTTACACAGCTCTCAGAACCTCAGCTTGCAGCTTCTCATTTTTTCTCTCACATCCTCCCTCATTTCTCATCAACCAAGGGTTCAGCCTTCTACTTTTCTTCCAATATTTCTGACCAAAGGCCAGATATCTCAATATTCAAAATGCTTCCCTGATCTCCAGAGGCAAACCTCTTCTAAATAAAGATGACTATTGGCCACAAAATTATCTGCAGAAATGAGCCTGTTTAGGCTTGAAGGTTTTAGCCCTTGGATCACTACTGGGCAGGGCTTGGTATACTTTTGATGGTACACAGAAAAACAAGGTCTCTGGAGTTTATCCATCAAGAATCTCAAATTCTCTATTGAGTTTTTCACTATAGTGAGGAGAATCGACCTCAACTCATGTGATTTTGGGGTGTTGGGCCCAGAGTAACTTCTGAGGGTACCCAGGCTCAGTGAAGAAGACTGGCACAAGGCCAGTGAACTGACACACTTCAAGGCTTGCTTATTTTTCCTGTTTGTGGTTTCTTCCTTTAGCAGATCTTGAAGTCAACAAAACTCCCCACATGGTGGCTCTCTTGACTAAAGTTGGGCATTGAGCAGTGAATTTTAAACAAGTAGTCTTGGAGATTTAAAAATATTTTTCCAGATTGAACTCATTTCAGAATTCAAGTGGGAGGCAAAAATAAGGATTTTAATGTGGTTCACCTTTGACTTGCAGAGAGGTAGAAGTCAGGAAAAGCCAATGTAGGCAATAGCTCTGGGCCAGTTTGTTAAGAAAGGCTGCTCTGCTGGATTATTCATCTTATTCACTGCAGGCTCTTTGTGTAAGGGAAGGCAGCCACCAAGCATGTAATATAGGCACGTAGACACTCCTGCAGACAGATGTAATACAACACAGAGAGAAATGAAACGTCTCCCACGTAGAAGTAGTTTGTTGAAAGTAGGCTATCTAAAGCTAGAAGGAATCTAAGAGGAAACAGGTAGCTTTGGATCATTCATAGCCAGACAATAAGGAAAAAGTTTGATTCTTGGAGGAAGAAATAAATCTCAAAAAGTGGAAATAGCATTAAAGAGGAGTGATTCATTTTTGTCCTATGCCTTTGAAAAAGTATACAGGACCAATGGCATATTTAAACATCAATCCCAAATCACACTAACAGAAAACACTCCTGCTTAATTGTAATTTCCTCTAATTTTTGTGTGTATAAGATCCAAATAGTTAAAATGCACACTAATGGTTATTGATGCTTCTATTCCTTTTGAAAAGAAAGACACTCAAGATCTTTGTGGACCAGAAAGTTACTAATCTGGAATTACTCAGGGGCTTAGAAAGTTCCCAGTGAATGTGGTGTTTCCTTATTGCTTTCTTCTTCCCATTTTATTTTTTAGTTAAAAATATTAACTATTCCCAGGGAAGTGTTCCTGGTAGCAATCTTCATCAAGAAAACTTGGGCTAGGAATCCTCCTGCCTTCCCAGTCTATATTTCCCTAAACAGAATTCAACTTGTGAGAGAAGTGTAGGACACCCATTTCTCACTCTCACATTCTTAAAATTTCAGTTCTTGCAGAAAACACAACACCGTGGTTTCATTTTTTAAAATCAGTAAGAGCCACAAAGCCTGTGGAACTGTGCAAACAAGGAAGGTAGAAATCCAAATACCAGGACTAACTATAAAGAAAAAGCTCCACACTGAAATCTAAGGCAGAGATTAATAAGGTTCTGAGCATCGGGATATTTGTGGACACAGGATGCAAGGGGAGATGGATCTGAACAGCAGGGCGATTTAGACAATGAAATGTCATAGTAAGAACACCACTGTCAAACCTTCAAATTTAGAGACTGTGGTGAAAATTAAGCCAGTGGCAATTTTCAATGCTTGTAGCATCTGCGCCCAACAGTTCAGCACCCAGAGCCTGGACAGCGCCACAGACTTTGCTCCCAAGGCAGCCTTCCCGTCTCATCAATCTACTCAGAGACAGACTGTCAACACAGCCAGACTCATTAGATAGTTACTGAAAATCCTCTAAGACTTCCCTTTCAAACGCAAAACGACTTCCACATTTAATTGCCTATCTGAAAAAGCACAAGCAAGAAATTAAAGAGATCGAAATTAAATTTATTAATGGGAGAGCTTGATGGTATTTAATTCTAAAGATCAGACTTGTCCTTGATGGGGCTTGAGAAAAAAGTATAAAGAAGAGACACAATAAAAACATGACTTCACCATCCCATAAATTCCACGAATTCTTCACTTGTCTTTGAGAAATGGGTGAAAACCATCAAAATAATTGAACTTCTTAAAAATTGGATTGTGCAAGTGAAAGGTGTTTATGAGAAGCTGATGACTCCGGATCTTATCATCCTGGAGGACAGCACAGAATAGTTAATATGTTCCTTGAGGGACTAGGATGCTGACGTCTTTTACTGATACCGGATCATTACGTGACTGAGGAAAAAAAAAAGGAAGTCATATCATGAATAAAAATCGGAGCACTACATTGTAACCAAAATATTCTGTACTTGAAGGCAATTGCAGACAGATGTTGACAAAGAGGTGTCTCTTGAAACCATATACGGATAGATTTTTTTATTAACTGCATATATAAATACGAGCAGAAGGCCAGTCAGCTCTGTCAGCATCAGCAGAAGCCCCATCTTCAAACGCAGCCTGAGACCTCGGAACAGAGAAGGTGCCTCTGACTCTTGCAAGCTGCCGGATCATCTCCCACAGAGGCCGGCAGCCCGGGCTAGCCCTCTCCTTTCCCATTCTCCCTTCTTCCTTGACTTTCACTCTTTTTCTTACCCACTAGCTTCTTTCCCCAGGCGGACTTAAGGCCACTCTCCTCCCCCTCCCTTTGGCTGCTCGCCTACTCTGTCTTCTACATCTCTCTTCTCGCCCACTTCCTTCAGTGTCACGCTCCTTCCTAATTCTGTGCGTCTACAAAGTTTTGAGCGGAATTTTAGCCTCGGCAAACAAGTCCCCCCAGCTCCTCCAGCTAATTCCTGCGGCTTCTCTCCAGACACCAGCGCCAGACAGTGAGTGATGCCTCTTGGGTTGTGATTCCAGCCCGGAAACTCGAAGGAGCCCTTTGCCCTCCGTCCTACTTGGCAGCCAACACTCTCATAGCAGCGGTAAGAGTCAAGTAGTAGGGGGGAGGGGGGCTTTTACCATACCATACTAACCGATTCATTTACTATAGGCTCCCTCCCGCGTGCTGGCAGCAATATCAGTGTACGAGTTAGCTTTCTTTAGTTCAAGGTCTGGCTAGTTACTGGGTGCACATACACAGCTATTTTTTTTTTTCCGAATTATACCAAGGGAGAAGTGGCCAGACGCACCAGGGTGGCTAAGTGGCGTTCAACACAAGGAGCCGCAGCTTCTCTTGCTCCCCCAGCTCCCAGGAGTTTTTTTAGGTTAGAAGGTGGAAAACCAGGGGCAATCTCACTTACTGCGTGCCCTCTTTTCCCTCCTGCTTTGTAGAATGACCATGTGTAGCGGAGTGAGGCTGGCCTTGCTGGTCTACGGGATAATAATGCAGAGCAGCGTCTCCTGCTCACCTGCCGCCGCTGGACTCCGTTTTCCTGGGATCAGGTAGGTGCTAGCCTAGGCTGAGCTAGATTTTTCTGTCGCCAGACACCACCTCCCGGTCGCCTCCCTACAGTTCTGGATCACGCGCTGCTAAGCATAGCTTCCTGCGCAGACAGGGCATTTCTACTGCCTTTGACTAGGTACCAGGTCCCTAGCTGAGTCTGGGGGGTGGGGGCTGGTCAAGGAAGCTGTAGTACAGCGAGCCTCACTCCTTCCTCATCAGTGGAGCCCAGGAACCCACATAAAGGGAGTGAGTTTCCGACCCTTATAGAAACCCTCCTCCAACTTGTCCAAAGGAAGGGTCAAGGTGCCTCTCTCCGCTTGGCTTCTTTTACCTTTTCTTAGGTAGAGTTGGAGAACTTCCGCTCCCAGAGCAAAGCCTGGGGCTAAGAGTGAAGCTCGCTCCACTTTGCTTTGTTACTGCCCATTCTGGACTATTGGGGCGGGGTCTCTCGTTCCTCCGCCCTTCCTGTTGTCTCATTCGAATTCTTTTCCACTGGAACAGCTTTCTTTCAAATGAATCCGTTTCAACTAGAGTTTGAGCCCTAAACGTCTTAGGGGTGGGGGTCTTGCCCAGCCAAGGTTAAGGAAAAGCGACTTGAGAGACGGAAAACACAAGAAGGAAACAGCGAGGGAGGGGGAAGAAACGGATGTTAAGGAGAGAAAACCAGCAGGCTGGAGGGGTTGGGAGAACAACCTAGCCCACTTGAGGATGCAGAAAACCGGGCTTTTTGTCTTGGCATCTGCTTCTAATCGTGCGGCGCTGCCCGGGCTCCCTACTTCAGCCCCAGAGCCCACTACTTGTATGCGGGACAGTGGAAATGCGTGGGTCCGCCTTACATGGGTGCGGGGTGGCACTCAGGACAGTCAGGAGCACGCGGAGACGAGCTGATTCTTGTAGCCGCGCCCAAGAACCTCTGCCTTTGCCGGGCATCTGCCCATTGATGTACTGGCAGACAGAAGAAATCCTCTCTTCTTTATGAGGACGCCTGCATGTGGGCGCCCAGAAGAGCAGTGGGTGGCTAGAAAGATCCTGGTTCAGGGTTCGGGGGCATACTGGGAGATGGGAGCTTGGATGTGCGCGGTGCGTAGGATCTCACCCGACTCTGGCCTCTCCAGGGAGGGCAGAAAGGTAATACGACTGGATTCTGCCTGGACAATGTTTTTAGTCCCTATTGCATTCCGCGTATCTCCAAGAGCCAAAAGCCACTCGGCTTTGCATTTTTTTGTCCTCCTCTGCCCGTCCTCTGTAAGGCATGAAGGTGATATGTGAGGAGCCTGAGATCCCCCGAATACCTAGGGAATGTCAGTCCCCAGTCGACCCCTTCCCTTGCGTTCTGGGGTTGAGATGGAATCCAGCCTCCGCTTTATTGCTAATAGACCAGCAGGAACTCTTTGTTTAATGGACTCGAAAGCCCTCTTCCTTTCCCCTCGGTCTATTCTCAAAGTTCCGTGTGCCTAGCACTTTTCCTGGGTGATAGGCACTGGAGCGCTCCGCCACACCGCAGAATGAGCCAAACTAGCTAAGTTTAGGGGCATTTATTATTCATGTTCCTAGCAGATTCTCTCCAGCCCAAAATAGAAGCCGGAGGTTCTCTGTGACCTACATCAGCGCAGGGAAGGGCTCCCCTGGGTTGGACGGCTTGGATGGGGGTGGCTGCTGCCAGAGGTGGCCTCCTGAATCCTATCTACCCACTCACCCTCCTTCCATTCTGCTCTGGGTCTGTCTAACTCATATCATGTCTTGGCTCATATCATCTTTTAGGATCTTTCTGGTGCGTTCTAAATGCTACTTGGTGGGGAGAGGGCCGGCTTTTCACTTGACCAGGTATTGGGGTCTACACGGTTGTTCAGTTCTCTTGGGATCATTGATCCGCCTGAAGAGACATGAGCGAATTTCCTTCTGAAGTAGGAACTTCTGCAGCGGTGTAGTTTCCTTACCTCGTCCCTAGGACTAATCTAGAAGAAAGGACAATTCTTCATGGGAGGCCATAACAAAGAAAGAAAATAAATTCTTGGGACCTGGCAGAACTAGGGGGAGAGGTACTTTTAATGACCCTCCTTCTGGCTATCCCACAGACCAGAAGATGAGGCTTACGACCAGGACGGGAACCCGCTGCAGGACTTCTACGACTGGGACCCCCCGGGCGTAGGGAGCCCCGCCTCCGCGCTGCGTGACGCCTACGCCCTCTACTATCCAGCTGACAGGAGGTATAACCCGCCCGACTTCCGCCTGACCTGACGGGGGAGACCCGGTAGTTGCTCTAAAACTAGGGGCCTTCCTATGAAAGTCCAAGTCTCCTTTCTATCTGGGAGAATCCAGAAAATTAGCAGACAGATTCCTGTGAACCTGAGGCCGCACCTAGGACTGAAAACTGCGGCCTGAGAGGTGTCCCTGTGTGTGCAACTCCGTAGATGGGACGCTCTCAGGTCAGAGAGGTCACCCCAGGGGCCAGGACTAAATCCTATCTTAGATTTACCCCCGGGAACTTCCGATAGTAACTTCAGGTCCTGTGTCTCTAGTGGTTGTCCCGTAATCCTCCTCGAAAGCCCAGCAAGTGGGGACCTTGGTTGTCACTTGAAAAACCGAGTCAGTGATTGACCCAGGTCTCATACTTTGTCTCCCATTAGAGATGTCGCCCACGAGATCCTTAACGAAGCCTACCGCAAAGTCTTGGACCAGTTGTCCTCCAGGAAGTACCTGCAGTCGGTCGTGACCAGGGGCGTGGGGTAAGAGTTTGTGACAGAGTTAATCCGTGGGTGATGAGCGCTTCAGGATGAGAGCGCGTAGGGAGGGCGGGGCAAATCGTGAACGTTTCTGCGCTCCAGAGCGCGTGTGCGCAGGAGGGTGTGTCTGCGTCCTGGCATCTAGGTGGAAACTATCAGCCTCGGGCGGAGATCTAGAAGTTGGGCTTTTAAACTTACCTTAAGAGCCAGAGACCCCGTGAGAGAGAAAGAGGGTAGAAAAATTGGGGTTTGAATCCTTGTTGAATGAGAAACAAGTTAAATCAGATAGCCCCCTTACCAGTCGTTCAAAACCCTCGAGGTTCGTGGAAGTGCTTGCCATACTTTGGCATCACGTTTACTATGAAGGCAAACCTAAGGAACAAAGCCTCCAGTTTAGATACTTGAAAGAAATCGTTTTTGCTCCGGCCAGACAAACCAAGAGCTAAGGTTTTGCATGTGTCAGCAGAAGGCAACATTTAAATAAAGCCCACGGGGAAGCCGATTAAATTTTAACCATGAATAATTCATGCGGTGAAAAATATTGCCTACAGTCTGTCGCTTTATATCACTATCAGGTTTTTTTTTTTCAACTTAACGTAGGCAAAGAGAGAGGCGTATCCATGTTTGCCTAGATTTGTGGAATCGATAATTTAGCAGAAGCCAGTGAGGCATTTAGCAACCTTTGTATGTCCGGTAGTGGAAAGGTACAAGTCCGTACAATTTAGCTAGAAACAGTGATAATGTAATCTTGAGAAGCAACCTTTGGAGAAGAGATTAAAGAGCGAGCACTCTCCGGACGCCCGGGATACTTTAGAAATATCTAGAAAGATTTGAAAGGATCCCAGTCGTAGAAGTCCTGCAGCGTGTTTTCACGGCTAGGAAACTGTGGGTGGGAAGGAGGGTCCCCCGGGTCTCCTTCACAGTGTTCCCGTCAGCTGGGGTGCGCCAGAGTAGGGCTGCGCAGGAAAGTTCAGAGTCCCGTAGGCTGCCGCCTGGGGTTAGGGCACACTTGTTTCTTCCGCACACACTCAACGTATCTCCCGCCCCGCCCCCTCTCCTTGCAGCGAGAATCCAGGCGGCGGCGTAGCCGACGACCGGGCACCCCTTACCAAGCGCCACTCGGACGGCATCTTCACCGATAGCTACAGCCGTTACCGAAAACAAATGGCTGTCAAGAAATACTTGGCGGCCGTGCTAGGGAAAAGGTATAAACAGAGGGTTAAAAACAAAGGACGCCGAATAGCGTACTTGTAGCGATGAATTGCCAGCTACGGTGTGTATAACATGAAAATTCGTTTTCCAAATTGACTGACCAGTCATCGCTCATGTGTTCTTTCCAAACATGTATTTATGTATGAAGTAAAGCCATTAAATGACTATTTTGATAATAATATTGTTTTTTCTTTTTACGAAGCACTAGAGAATGCACAGATATACTTTGTGGACCAATTATTGATATATATTATAAATATATATTAAGAGTATATATATAAGTATAAGAGAGAGCAATTCTTAAGCGTGCACAAGGATTGAAAATTCGCCTGAGCTGTTTATGTTTTTATATAAAATGAATAGAAAAAATAGACAATCATTGTTTTGAATATTACTCCTATTTTTGTAAACTGGAATTAAAGGATAGTATTTTTATCCACAACAGGCCTGAAGATACCAAAAATGGCCATTTGCTACTGTACAAAAAACAAGGATGCCCTGCTCCAGGGGAATTCTGAGCTGATGACTGGGGAAATTGCTGAAGGGCTTCCTTTCCCTGTGAGTCTCTGGGGCAGGCTGCTTGAACCCCAGCCTAACTCACTCAAGGGGGCTTTGTCCCACTGGCTGCGGGCAATTCCAACACTTTGGCTTTCTTTGATTCTCCTTTTATGTGTATTTGTCTCTCCTCAGACTCTCAGCCCAGAAGGAAATTCTAATTAAACAACAGCTCGATCCAAATTGTGCTTCTCCCCAGAATTTACGTCATTCCCTGGGAGAAAAGTTGAGGAATTGTACAGAGATCGGCTTGGAGAGAAAGCTCTCTTTTCTGTACTTCCTGATTCTCCAGGGAACCGACTATCCCAAGGTTAGGGCAATTGGAACAAAGTGAAAGAAATAGAGGCGGATTGGAGGAGGCAGAACGTGGGTGGCAGAGGAAGACTTTGCAGAGGGACTGGTTTGAGAACTGCCCCAGGTCTGAGAATCTGAGGGCAAGTCCACTCCCTTTGTAGGTTCCACTGCCTGACAAATTGGGTGCTGGATATTGAAATCGAGTGCAAAGTACAATGTGTTTTTCTCCAGTGCTGTCCGTGCTTCTCATTTTGTGAAATGACCAGGATCCCCCTCTTGGAATCCTATTCTGTAGAAGCCACCCCTGTTCGTTGTGGTTTTTCTGGAGAACTCTCCTTTCTATCCCTACCCTCCTGTATTGTTTAAGAATCATTTGCCATTTTCACTTCTCTTAAGTTTGTGAATGCTACTCATTTTTTGTTGTTTGATGCAAGCAGTGACTGTGAAGTTTAGGAACCCCTGTGTAGCTACCATGAAGTAATTATGCACTAAATATGAACCTTTTGTTTCTTGTTTATTGAGTTTGTAGGTAAAATGTATTTTTCTACATTATGGCTTATTGCTTAGTAAAATTGTTTCATAAAACCAATCTTTGTCATATTAGAATGTGTAGTGTTCCAATATTGCTCAGTTTGACTAACTGATAAATCATTTAAACCCCATCTTCATATGTATGAGTACTATCTTATATCTCTGGTCAAGAGTGGGGTAAGCAGGGTCCCACACCCACTTTTGTATCCTGTCTTGGCTAAAGAAAGCATGTCTGTTTCTTGTCAATTTCTTGAACTTATGTGGAGTAATCTTTATAAACAAAAGAACCTTCACCCAGTAACCAGATCAAGCAACAACAAACCAGCAAGTCTCCAAATTTTAGGTACAAATTTTTAAAACAAAACAAAACAAAAACAAACAAACAAACAAACAAACCCTCAGAAAAAAAACCCCATTAGTTTGTAAAGTTTAAAGAACTTTTCCTTTTTTTTGTACAGATTTGGTTAGTATGAAGTCAGGCATCTAAGAAAACAGAACTGTATTTGCATTCCCAGGCGGGTGGATGGATGCTGCCCCGTGACCACATTGCAAACAGAGAAAGCAGGCATTTGATCTCAGCCTGTGTCCGGCTACAGGATCAATCTTTATTTCTGCAGTCTCCTCAGGCAATGTGACCCGGGATGCAGTTTGCAGCTTTAGTGCCTTTCTTTGCCTTTTAAATCGCCACGAATCACAGATGGCTATTTAGTGGCCCTACAATGCTGCAACACATCGGCTTGCGTTTTAGTCTTAATTATTTGTTTCTTGGATAATGGGCAGACTTTTCTGTATTTGTGTCAGCTGCTAGTGGTGAAACAAGGCTCTAGTGAACCTTTTCTTTATGAAGTCTAACTTAGTGTTCACGTGGCTAGTGGCAAGCATTTTACAGTGATCACCTAATTTAACCTTTTGTATACTTTTCAGAAATGCCAAGAGCCTTATTAACCTGGAGCAGATTTATGATATAGTGGTGATATAGGTAGATGTTAGTCTTGAAACTCTTATTTTGTGTGCAACTGATTATAAAAACATATTAACCAAGCATTATTACACATATAATATCTATAATTAGGTCTTTGATAACTGTTATACAAAGCGTGTAAAATTTGTATGAATAAATTTTTGTAAACAATTCACTTTGGTCTAATGTTTGGAGAAAAACACATTCAGGAAATAATAATTTTTAAATCTTTTAAAGTACTATATTTCTTTAACAGCCATAAGATTTTTTTCATGTCTGGAATACTTATCAGCCTAAACATTCATGCATTTCATAAATTGTACTCTAACATCTGTTTGATGAGGTACTGGACTCAACAAAAAATCTTTAAAATAACTGGTCAGATGGAGAAGCCTAAGAAAACACTAAACCCATGAATAGATAAGGATGCTAGAACATTTGTAAGCTACATAGATTAGTTTCTGTCAGCTGGTATGTCCATATATGGCTTAGTATACAGAAAGTTACCAGGCAGTGGTGACATATCATATTGCAGTGTTAGGTACATTTGTAAAGTTATTATTTAGCTTTTAAAAAAGTAGCTGTATACTAGCTAGGTCTTAATGAAATTTTGTATAAAAATGATGTAAATAATCAGTTTGGGGATTGCAGAATGTATTTGGAGATATGAGTTATTGTTCACTAGAATGTTTTCAGTGGAAGGATCAAGGACATGTTAACAAGAGCTTTAAAAGAAAATACCTTGAAGCCTAAAGAAAAATAGTAAGGTTATCTGAGGATAATATAGGCTACTAACCCTGGAATTTGCATCACTAAGAAGGCCCCAATTATCTTGTTACAAAAGTGCAACTACATGTCAGTCAAGCTCTTTGACCAGCATACCTACCCATTTCAGATGTTTAATCTGTATTAGTAAGAGTTAAAGGAAAGTCTTCATATGAAAATCCCATACATTTTCAAGGGTATTTTTGGTATCCTTGTCTATTTCTGAGTTAAAAATACTTTGAGAATCATTAATCATAGTTCATACAATTTAATGTAAAATATCATATTTTCATTCTAAAATTACTAAAATTAGTTGGACTCAATTTAAAAACTCACTAAATATGTCACAGTAGTACTTAAAGGCTAGTAAAATTTCAAAAATTATTGTTAGAGCATAGCCCAGCATTTTAGAACCATATATGGAAGAGCCCAAATCTAGAAATTAGATATATGGAGAAAATAAGAAAAGAATATAACATAGTTAGTTCATATCAGATTTTACTAGCTAAGGAAAATTTTTTCCTTCATTTGTAATTTTCCTCTTTCTATGTCACAGTGTAGTAAATGAGAAAAATGGAGAAAGACAATTTGTTTTGATGAGGGATAATATAATGATTTGTCAAAGAAGTAAAGAAAAGCCCTAAACTTGGCTGACATCAAGTGAAATTCAGATATGCAAATTCTCTTGGTGTATTTTTTTATACGGGATAAAAGAAATGATAGGCATTAATATGAAGACTTAAGACAATTGAGTTTTCAAGGGTCTAAAATACGTGCCTTGCTGCTGTAAGGACTGGGACCATAGAGATCCCATATAATACAGTTTAAACACCTGAAATGGGTAATATAGATTAAACACCTGAAACTGGTCAAAGAGCTTGACTGACATGTAGTTGCACTTTTGTAAAAGATAATTGGGGCCTTCTTAGTGATGAAAATTCTAGGGTTACACCAGAATCAATGAGCCTACATTTTAAATAAAAATGCTACACTGATGTGTGTTAAGTTTATGACCACTTAGATTTAGAATTTAATGACATATATAGATAGGAACATATATTTTCAAGTTAGCTATTTTTTATATTAAATAATCATCAGGTTATGCTCCTTGCATACAGTAATCAGTAAAAGTCACATCTGCTTTTCCACCCTCCAAGAATAGACATTAGGCTTTTGGAGAAGTACAATAGCTCCTTTAAGTCGTTTAGACCACTAATTAGTATGATTTTATGTGAGTATTCTGGTTGCCTGCCCCCTACCACATTTATAGGTAGTTCCTGAAGGAGAGTGATTTTCTAAATAGAATTCTAGAACCTTCAATCTCATGGTTAGAAGATCAGTGCTATACAGAGAGCCTTGTTGTAGCTACCTGGTACTAATTATGGGACCAAGAAATCAACTTCCAGTTGTATTGCATCTCAATTTGGTTGTAACAGTTTTAAACCTCTGAACTGTTCGCAAGATGACATCACCTGGAAGTGTCACTGTGGCCTCAATCAACCGTTTATGCCAGTACAGTATTAGAAGTCACAGCTTAGCTAGTAGCATACATGTTCCCCTTGCTGCTGACCTTGCTGCTACGCTGGATCCCTACATCAACTTGCAGTCTATCTTTGGGACCTGGATAATTCTCCTTCAATCAGTTTTAGCTCTTTTGTATCCTGTCCTTTGAATGAGCCAGCACTGTCACAGAATTCCAAGTTGTTCCAGTTGCTTTTCTATGACTCTTTTGTGACCCTCTTTCACATGAGAATTTTTTAGCATATAGTTATAAAAATAGGTATATACACCAAACACTTACCATAACAAATCATACATCTATTTTTGAATAATTTTACGATTTATAATAGATGAAAAGCAAATTTGCATACTAATGATCTTATTTTTATTAGTATTTGCATACTAATGTACTTATTTTTACATAAATAATTGACTATTGACTGAATATTTGATACTGAAGAATATCTTCAACCTTTATCAGAGTTAATTGATAATTTATAGTCAATGATACCGAGGATGCTGTTTGCATGAATACATATTATAAAATCTCAGAAGTATGTTTAGGGTCATTTTAGATATTTCTGGAAATTAAATTCTCATATTGTGCCAAAATTTATATATTGATTCTTTAAAATGAAACTCAAGTCAACAATTAAACCACCAATCTTAAAAATCAAGTTCAACATAGTAGAAAGTCTAAATTGATACCTATTGAGGAGTGAGTAGGGAATACTAAAATTCTTTGTTTCTCACAATTAAACTATTACGGTTGTATAAAAACATAACATATTTTGTGTATAGCAACAACACTGAGTTCAAAACATAAAATAGTCTTGAGTCTGACATGAGATGGTTCAGACAGTAATTATCGGCATTGTGTCCAGTGTTGTAGTACGCAGAATACAAAGTGTAAATATTGTGTGTTCAGAACAAAAGTTGCCATGAAGTCATATGAAAACTTCTGATTCATTTTGCGTTTGAGTTTGAAATACTTTTTTTGTTTTTTTTTGTTTTTTTTTGGGGGGGACCTTTTACTGTTGTTAGATTTATTCTGGACATGTTCAGTTACATGACACATTGTGAGATTGCAACACACAGTTTGAGAAGTTGTCCTTAGAAGGACAGCTTCACAATCTTTGAAATGAGAATGTATTTTTCTCTATTCTTGTAATCTCTCTTGGCCTGTTATAATTCTTCTACCTGTTCAATGTCAATCAACTGTAAAGTCCAAGGACTCAAGTTTCCTTCCTTCCTCTGTATCCTCCTTTGTGTGCCCCCACCTCTCTTGTTGGCCTTAGACACAAACCCCCTTGCCTCAACATCCAAGTCCTTTCACACTACAGCAGATTCATCAAATGCCATGAGATAGTAAACCTGCCTTGGATAGAAGAAAAGAAGTATCTTGAGATTCAAACAGGGAACTAAACTGTCCTCAAATTGATAGTTATCATAGTAGTTATTTATGACTGATGGAGAAACTTCCTTGTCAACTAGAATGTAATTTAAAACATGATTTGGTAGATAAGAAAATTGAGATTATAGAACAATTTTTATTTCCTTTATTTTTTTTTCTACCAACAGTTTAGTATTCTAGCAGGTGACACCATCTTCTTCAAGTTACATTCTTGCTGAGTAATACAGAACTCTAACTCAGGAAGGGGTAGTCTGTGTGCAGCACAAAAGTAATAAGATAATAGCATGTCGTTGTGCCTGATTCCTTTTTGCTTAAACACCCCTAATTTTGGTTGATTAACAACACATTCTCTATACAGGACATGAGTTTATGAGATATTAACTGACTTCTAGATACAGCCAATCAGGATAATTG